AATTATGTGTGATATCAAGAATATAGTCCTATAATTTGAGCATTCTGTTGGGTCACCTTTCTTTGGAATACATTCAAATATGGATTTCTTCCAGTCAATTGGCAAGGAGCTGCCTTCCAAATTTCCTGGCATAGACAAGTGAGTGCTTCCGGTGCTTCATCAGCTTGTTGAAACACTTCAATGGGTATTCCTGTTCAATTCCTTGAACTTTGTTCTTTTGCCTAATGCTTTCCGTGCAGCTTGAATTTCTTCCTTCAGTACCATTGGTTTTTGCTTATATGCTACTACTTCCTGAAATCATGCCATTTCATCCAGTTCTTATAAGCACAGTGATTTTATGTATTTTTTTCCATATTGTTTTGATGCTTAGTGCATCATTCATTATTTTCCCATAGAACCTTTCAATATTTCAACTACAGACTTGAATTCCAGCTTCAGATACACTGAGCATGTCTTTCCCTGTTGATTTTCTAATTCTAATTGATTTTCTAAATATTTCACTATAATGTTTGCATTTGTCTTCTAGAGCTACCCTTTGATGTTTTCTATTCAGCTCTTTGACATCCTCATCCCTTCCATTTGCTTTAGCAAATTTCAGTGTCTCTTCTAACATCCATTTTGATCCTTTATTTTGTGTCTTTTTAATTACCTTCTATTTTCTTCATGGGTGATTTACTTGATATCCTCCTTCAGCTCATCAAGTGTTTTGTCATTAGTGTTCAATGAATCAAATCCATTCTTGAGATGTTCTCAAAATTCAAGTATAATAAACTCAAGGTCTTATTTTGGTACTAGAGGACTTGTTTTCATATAGTCTTCTCTTTCATCTTGAACGTACATATGTGAAATTGATCATCAGTTCCAGAATTAGCCCCTAGTGACATTTTAGCTGCTAATATTGAGCTTCTCCATTGTTCATTCCATCTGGGAAGTCCATGTGTATGTACAGGGAGCCGTTAGTGGATTTGAACCGCCTACTTTTCAATTAGGCACCAGTCACTTGACCACAGTGCAAAAGAGCTCCTTATCACCCAAACCATCACAATCCTTAGAAATAAATTTAAGTAAATAATGATAAATTTTCAATACATGTAAACATAATTGGCCTATGCAAAAATCAGACAATCATTCACCCATTAGTGCATACTACCCCAGGAGAGAATAAATCAGATTTAAAAGTTTATGTTTTATTGTTGTGTATCAAGTCTCTTCAAAGTCATAGGACAGAGTAGAACTGCTCCAGATGGTGCTCTAGACTGCAATTTCTATGGCACAAGATTGCCAGGCTTTTTCTCACTGAAATCAGATGCTGTGTTTGAACTATCAACCTTTCATTTAGTAGCCCATTCTGTAACCACTATCCCACGAGGACTCCATATCGCTCAAATCATGACAACGCTCAATGGAAAATCTCAATAAATAAAAATAAAATTTAATCACTATATACTATAAAATAAAGGGATTCACTAACATACAAAATACTATCATTAGTTTCACATGCAAGTACTATTTGTTACTTACCAGAAATTAGGTAACTGCCA